GTGTCTATCTTGGTCCATCCTCAAAGCCTTTGGTTGCGGAAACCTGATTTGGCCCGTGACTGATTTGAAAAGCAGCAGACGCTTTGCTGTTCAAAGGCATTAATTTAGGTTTTTGTTTTAGTTATTGCACAAATGAGCATTCTAACATTCCAGGCTAAGCAGTTGCATGAATTGCAGATTGAAGACAACTAACAAGATTTTGTAAACTGTAAAGCCTGATGATATTCATTGTGCTCACTAGTACTCCCACTTTACCTTAGTGCCAAAGTGCTTTGAGCAATCATTCCGAAACTTCGGTTATGAATTTACGTGAGTCGCATTTACATTGTGAATGCAGGAGACAACTAAGGCAGTGGGCTTCTGTTTGCCTCCATTTATTTAATACCTGGAAGTCAGTGCTCGCTATTTGCTAGAAAAGTGCTGAATGTGTTCTTTGAATTTTGTGGTTTTGTAAGACACCAATTATACCTTAATTATGACAGCCAAGACAAACACTACCAAAGCCTAAACGAGTTGTTGAAACGAATTTGCTGGAAGCGCATTCTTCAAAGACTCCAGGAAACTGACTGACTTCAAGTGAAAAATGTGTGTTGACAGGACATTTTAACTTCCAAATTCAATGAATCATTTATTATAGGTTTTAGTTTGTGCGCGCGCACACACGTACACAAATTAAGAGAGTTGAAAACACTAGGGGCATTGCGATCTGTTTGGTTAACTATCCATGAGCAAACAAAATCTGCCACCTAGTTCCAACAGCAACTGCGACAATAACCGACCATATGTCAGAAAATTAGCGTGCCTCTTTATAGTTGGCAATTCATTTCTCTAAAACCGGGCTGAAGTCCACCACCGCCTCCGAGGCAAAGCGTCTTATCAAGGAACGGGGTAAGACCTTTGATACAGAGATTCGAAAAAACCATTCAATGGAGCTCCAAAAGGGTGGAGACACATCACTTCAACTGCACTAGGTTAGTGAATTGATCGCAAAAGAGTGCAGCAGGGGGCGGAGCAACAAAGGACGACTTAAGAACGACTATTTATCATAATCCTGCCTTTTTTGGGACCTACAATTCTTGATCTGATACAAAACCGGAAGCCCATTTATACTCTACAAAAAAGCTATTCATAAGCCATAGTCGCAGATCTGATCCCCGTAAATTTGTTGCTTCTGATAGTTACGTTTGAAAGTAGAAAGTGTTAATGACGCCAATCCGTGGTGCCGATAGCTTATCACAGTTCGCAGTCCGAATTGTTTTATAGACATTAACTTGTACTTTTCTGCACCTTAAACCATGAGTTACCTATCTACAATGCATTGCATAATTTATTCTTGGAAGAATCCGACGTGCACATGTCGTGTGGGCGCTGTTGTGCTGAAAACAGACGCACGATAGACTAGGCCAGCACATTCAAGGCCTGAAAGTGTATTAAGCCAAACCAAAAATGCACTGTCAAAAACCTTTCGAAGGCTGCCCTAAGTGGTCCATGATGCTGCGGAGATCCGACAAAGCAATTATAAAGCGAATGCGCCCTCACCCAGCCTCCTCTCTTAATGCATAATTGCGGCGCATAAAACCTTTTAAAAACGACCACTCGCCCACACTGCTTCCCAATGGCACAAAAAAGTTTATTCAAATAATTTGATTCGAACGGAAAAGTCGTAGTTGCTGGAAGTAATAAAATCACCTTAGTGATAAGCGCCGTGAGAATGCACTAGACGATCCCTCAAAAACCTAAAACAAAGTTCTTTATTCTCACCACCACCATTCGCTAGAATAGAAAACGTGAAAAAAACAGTGACTTTAATCAGTTATAGCTACAAACAATTCCTCCCACAATAGCCTGCTCTCTTGCTCAGTAGCTTGCAAAATCCACTCATCGTTGCCGCTATTTACACAAAAGAGAGTAAAAATAGGACAAACTGGTAGTTTGAAAGAGAGCGCTCAGTCCTTTTTTGAGACATTCATGAAGAGGTAGGACATGGACTCGCCGTTGTGTATACGTCGGATGGCCTCAGCCAGCAGAGACGAAATATCCACAGTACGGATCTTGTGGCACTGCATCTTCTGCACCTCGTGGGGTACCGTATTGGTAACTACCACCTCATCCAATAGACTCTGCTCTATCTTCTCTGCCGCATTTCCTGTCAGTAGACCGTGGGTGGCTATAAGGTATACCTATAATAAGAAAACGAAAGTGGTGTACGGGAAAAGTACCCAATTATGACCTACTACTCATAGGTTTACCACTGATTAAGTCAGGTAAGCTGAATGAGTGAAAGCGGTTTCCCAGAAGATAATAATTCAGTAGCAAAAAGCGAAAGTCGACTTTGATAATACTACCAATCGCTCACTTGACATTACGTCATTCTTAAAGAACGGTGAATTAGTAGAACGAACAAACAGATTAGACCACATAAGCCAAACATTTGATAAAGGGCATTGGAGAGAACAAAGCAACTAAAAAGCTGGCTTTATAATGGTGCCATCCCCTTAAAAATAGTGAATCAACCAAAGAAGTGTTATGACTATGTAAGCAATTAGAAGAAAGGGAGATAAAGAAGTACAATAAATGCAAGTAGACTTATAACACGCACTTGGAAGTGTCGAAATGGGAAAAACAGTGGCTAACCAATGTTTCAGTCACAGGCATTCGTCTTAAAATTGCCAAATAAAGTAACAAATGTTTTATTATTAATGAAGAGTAGTACATATCTCGAGAGAAGGCTGATTCGGCATGAAGGCGCTAAACCACTTCCGTTGTAAGAATGTAGTCATAGCAACGAGTTTGCTGTCTGCTCACACTAACCGTATTAAGGGCGAACCGTATTCACGCAACGAATGTACCCGTAGTAAAAATTTTGTAATGGGAGCGGCTTAACTCAAATTATGCTGAACTCCCGATGCATCCTTGTCGCCAGTCTCAAACGCTGGACCAGATAATTTTCGCAGTTAAAATAAGAAATTCAAAAGGGTCGTTGACTTAAATATTCCAAAGAGCGAAAAACTTACGAATGTCTGAAAATCTGAAGACCATTTTACTAATACAAACCTAAGAAGTGGGTGTTGCAAGCAATATGGCAGGATAGGTGAGCTGAAAATGTCTATTCAATCGCATAGTCAGAAAAGTCTAGGTGATCCTCCATTAGCAAGGTGCGCATCATAAACACTGCATAAATATGGCACTCGCAACGCCCACCAGTTGGCTTTCAAGAGTAAAACCACACCGAAAGAGGTAACGGGTTTGGTGCAGCGGATAGACAGTTGTCGAGAGCAGGGATCAAAAAGAAAAGTGCAGCAAACTACGCATGTTCAAAAGGCACATTGCAAAGTTATGAGTTCAGAATCGTGGGTCTGGATTCAATCAACGCCAATGACAGTAACACCTCGAGTGAAAATCTGTGAACCCAGATTTTCCAGTCACGATAACAACGCATAGTTGCGTGACTGCCGGTTAATGGGAAGCTCAATTTAAATAGTGTATCTTCTTGAATTGTATGCTGTGGCCACAGCATAAGTGCTATATTTAAGGCCTTTGCATATGAGATGTGCCTCAATTGTGTTAATTTCAGAAGTTCCGCACGACGATAAATCCTATGACACAAAATGGCGCAAATTCAAGGTGGATTTAAGTTATGCAAAGGATCTTAAGGCGAGCATAGCCTTCCCCATACTAGGCATTGTTCATGAATAAGTAGCACTTAAGTCCGTTTAGGGGTCCTGAAAAATCTAGCTTAACTACCTTTTTAGCCTACAAAAGAGATAATAGAAGGGAGGAAGGACATAGAGACATTCAAAACCCACCCAAAGGTAACCAAGAGGCAATTGACTGAACACTTAGGAAGATAAGAAGTAGAGACATTCCAGAGGCCATAAACAGACGGGAGAAACTAATAATGACCAGATTAAGAATAAGTGTGGTCGCATTTATAATTAGCCGTAGATGTAAGGGCGCCACCGCAGAAAAGTAGAAAGGACAAACAAGTGAAATAATATTATGTAAAGTCCTGTGGGCTTAACTCTGCGAAAAGTGCACATTTAATTTAGACAAATTCAAGGTGGAAAGTGTTGTTCCATTTATGGAGATGGGAATCCCCAAATCGTGGTTAGTAGACTCGTGAGACGTGGAGGAATTTCAGAGCTAAATCCTGAAGAACTGAGTTGGAACGCGTACAAATTGAATTTAAGGACTCATTGACGCCCCTTTTCAGAGGCTATACAATGGACGTACTGCCAGAGAAAGCATTGCATCGCGAAATTTTAAGTGTAGACTTCGACGCCATGTGTGATGTTTCCAAGCACGGTTGCACTAGTGGCCATTTATAAGCCCATGAGAAAAAAGGTTTGAGAGAAACATCACTACAACCGTAGGAGCAAGAGCAGTTTGAAATTGTAAATGTGGACATTGACGACTCAAATTAAAAGTACATATCCAAACCGTAGAATAAGGAATGGACTTAAATGAGGAGTATTTAATTTTGCCCCAGCAACGTTGCCCTGAAAACCAACAAATCCGTACTCAAAAACCTTAAGATACGCATGACTTCAGAGAGGAATGTCCTTGAGACGAGAAAATATGGCGAAAGTAGAGCATCGAATTGGAGTTTTAAGAAGCCAATAAGTTAGATTCAAAGTAGGAAAAGCAACTCATTTACAGGTTGTGTGGAAACAATGAAGTGAAGCGAACACCACAGCCTTTGGTCAGCCAAGATTAACAGAAAAATACTCCTTTTTCCATGGTAAACAGAATACGATAGGAAGGATAGAAAAGCAGTAGCTAACAGCGCCACTCCAGGCCACAACTTTGCTTCAGAAAAACTAGACGCGGGAAAGCCAAAGGTAAAACGTTGATAGATTATGATTAAACAGTTATTTAGTGTTAAAGATTTCTGGTTTATGAAAGTAGTGCACTTGACTCATTTCAGGAAGTAAATTTTCTCATATAACTACTTTGCAAAATCCTCAATGCTTTGTAAGGCTTTTGTTTTCCACTTTTGGTAAGAGATTTTAAGTTTATTGAATGCAAACTTGAAAATCCACAAATTGGAAATTCAGTACTATTAAAGTGGGACTGAGAATAAGCGCTGACCGAGTATACAATGCAAAACCAAAATCCCAAGAAGGCAGTTATTTTCTTCACTTCGATTAGGAGAACAGCAACAGCAGAGGACAAGGAAAAACATAAAAACACTGCTCTAGTGTCGTGCCTCATTTGCATTCACAAGGGAACCTTGTTCTATACCGCAAGCCCATAGGTAATTTATAAAATAAGGTAACGCATTGGTATGATAAAAGCCTTCAAATCAGATCCTCAGAAATGCGTGGTGGATAAAATGCGGACCAAGCGGCAAAGCAAGTTATTTATGCTACTTTCAACACAAATAACCAAGGGAGTAGCAAAATGTCATCCTGTAAGGGTCAGTTAAGGTAAGGGTACAGCTTGAAGACAACGATGTGCCGGAGTGCAGATAAAGTAACTACGACGCTATTCTTTCGAACCTTTGAGGTTGATGTTGACTTTACAACGAAGAGGACATCGATCAAATGTGTGAAAGTGTGTGAATACAAGAAGTAAAATAAACGGCGTTAAGTTTTGCCAATCCACCACTCCCACTAATATATTGCCTTATCATTAGAGTTGGGATGATAAAATCATTGAACACTTGGTTCTAATTTTAGCATTTCATTTAGTCTTCGATCTGAAATGACTCATCACGCAAGGATGAGTTAAGGAATAATTAAAATAAAATATGCATGAAAACGGAAGCAATAGGCCCAGACGGCAAAATTCATATTTTCTCCTTCATTTCAAATGATTGAGGCAGGGGTCAAAAGATTCCATAAGAGCAAAATGGAATGTTCAATGCGAACCAAAAGGACCTCCAAAACAAAGCAAGTGGGTTTAATCAAAATACAGCTGGAAACAGAAACGCTCTTTAGCCTCGAGCTAAGAAAAACAACTTAACACTTCATGAAATTTTATATCATAATCTGTGGCGACATTGAAGGACTATTAAAACTAGATTCTTCAGTATTATAAAATCTTGAGGTCACGACTGTAAGTGACCAAACTGTTCACGCAAATAAACTACCTCTGATATGAGTTAGCGAGGAATCGGAAGTAAAAACCAGGAGAGTCAAATTCCCTCCTTACAAAAATTATCATTTTTGTTGAGATAATAAAAAAACGAGCTATCTACTGGTATTCCCCAAAACACATATCCAACCCCGCCTGGCTCATGGTTGCATATCGGCTGCCAAACAAGCTGTTTTTAGAGCAAGAAAATATTCAAGTACATGTTGAATTGATGTCACCTTTTGCAAACCAAAAGACTGTCAACCTGTCCTAACAGTAACATACTACTACTTGTCTGTAATTTGATTCATACGACTTGAGTAATCGCGAGATTACGTCTGGACTACAATGCTTAATGATGGATTAAGCTAAACTTTCACTGCAAACTCTACACGGCATTTCAGCTATGCACTTCGATAAAATAGCAAACGATCTTTAAAATGAACTAATATTTTCAGAGCACATCGTACTACTTCGAAATGATTAGTGGCATGCAAAATGCAGAGAAAACGACCCCAAAACATCCCGGAAATGTGAAGTACAGCGTCTACTGGTGTTTAGCTGAGAAGAATGAGTAGCTCTTCTCGAAGCAACAAATTGTTCGCTCAAAATATTACGTCAAAAAATAATGTTACTTAAACTACATAAGTAAATAGACAAATTCAACCAAAAT